TTATATAAATTATTTTCTTTGATTGCAACTCCTATTAATTCATTTTCTTTGCTATAAATTTTTGAAGTATTTCCTGACGATATAATTTTCGCATTTTCGGCGACTTTTCCGAAACTCATTAAATTCCTATCCATTTCTTTGACAAAGAATACATTTGTTAATTTGATTTCAGTTTCATTAAAATTTGTTACAAATTTAGCTTTAACATCGCCTACAATAGTTGCTTTAAGGGGTTATACGCAGTTGCGAGGCTCAATAATAACGTTTTTTTACGATTTTTTTGTGGACACAGCTTTTATTTATTAAGTACAAGTGATAGTAATTCTGAAAGAGCACACTTTGAAGAATATAATTGTGTATTACTCGTGTCAAAATATTGATGTGCACCGCCTCTGCAGATGATGTCCCGAACGACCTCCAAAAAAAGGCACTCGGCGGTGAGCACAATTTCGTCGGTTTGCATTATCTGAAATAAAAAAAAAAGGTGAATTCTTTTAAAGGATAGATAAATGCAGGTAATTGAACAAAGGAATAAACAAAATTTTCATTTTTGACCAAATGGCGGCAATTTGAAAAAAATTTTTCGTTTTCGATGAAAATTTTCGCTCTAAATTGTCAAAAAAAAATAGTAAAAAATTTTTTACATCTTATTCCTTATTTCAATACTTGAAGAATGAATCTAAAAAGATTGTGTTAAAATTTCAGCCCGATTAGTTGAGCCATCTCTGAGAAATCTTGCTCACCGACTCTGAAATGACAGTTTTGAGATAAACGCGTTTAAAGTTTCAGAAGTAGTTTACACATAGGTAAATTTTTTTTTTTTAAACTTACATGGTATCATCGATTCCAGGGCCATAAGAGGGACCTTGTGTAGGATCCTTAGCTTCCAGTAAGTCCAGCTGGTGTTGTCGTCGAGCAATTCTTTCTTCGCGCGTGCTCCCTAGCGCTCTCGCGTCGGAGATCATCACACGCTCTGCGTCCTCTTTCTGAGCATAATCATGAGCTGCGGTGCCTAATGAAAGCCCTAATGCACTCATAATGTGTAACAATGATGTTGTACCTTCATTATATGTTGCAGCTGCAATGTAAGCCGCTATTTCAACAACTTTAGAGTCACATGGAACAATTTTCGGACTTATTTTCCAGATTAGCTGATTGTAACTCTTATTATTATTTTGTGTGAATCCACCTACACACCTTTCCAATAAATTTACGTTGCTAAGGTTTTCATAAATTTGATATATAGCTTCGGCAACATCAGCTGGTAAAGCTGGATAATCATGGGTGTAAGAAGATAATGTATCTGTTGCTAGCGCTTGCTGCCAAGTACACCATGAACCTTCTCCACCTGGGCACATTTCGTGTTGAGGATTCTCATCGGTCGAACAATAGTGATAATAAGTTCCCCAAATTGCAWTATACATACTGTCCACAGAATCATAATTTCTTTTTATTGCCAAACCGTAATAAACTGTYAGCTTATCTATTAGCTTAGCTGTGAGCTTAGAAGCAGTTTCAAATTTTATGTTTCCCTTACAAGACTTACATTGCACATATTCACTTATCGCAGCAAATACTGTAATGAAGTTTAAAATTCTATATTCAATCGAAGGATCACGTGAAACTAAAATCTCTTTCTGCATTTTGAATTTTTTAGCAGACGCACTAAAACTACTTTCATTCGTTTCAGTAGTCTTTGGATTAAAAGTCTGTGTTCTCTTCTTTCTTCTAGATATTTGGACATTTTCGGTACTTCTACGAGATCTYGAACATTTACGAGGCATTTTTTTAACGTTTCAATAAAATTCACAATAAAACACAAAATTCACAAGTAAGTTTGAACTGAACGCACGACTTTCAACGTAGCAGAACAATTTAGACTGACGAAACACTTCTTTTAGGTTATAATATAACTGCATGTGACCTTCAAGTCTTTAGTATAC